GGCACGAGAAGTGCAAAAACGCATAATCGCACCGGCCCGCCTGGTGCGTTCCAGCCTGGGTTCTTTCATCTTTCTCCCACATATGTGTGCTTATTGTGATACATCTGTACTATTTGCTTTCTTGAATTAGTATTTATTTTTTTTTACTTTTATGTATTTATGTTGTTATTATTGTTGCCACTGCTAGTTTTGCTATTATTATCATTACTATTATTATTACCATCCAGAATAATTGCCATTATTATCACTATTATTATTTGTTATCGTTATTATTACTATTAACAATGGCAGGTGGAGCCATTTATTTCGTGTATTTCTTCTGCTGAATTGCCCAGTTTTTTCGCCGGTGTATTTGTGCAAAATGGTTTATCTTGATCATTTTTGTGCTTTCCTAATCGTTCGGTGGTCTTGATTTTGGCTGGTATCGCGCCTTTTTTTTAGGATATGAAAGTCTCAGGAAGCTGTTCCCCTTTCAAGCAAATCTTGGTAAACGGATGTTTTCATGCTTCTAATACGAGGTATTATAGGTAATTTTTCAAATTTAGATAAATTCTTAGGGATCGGGATTTTTCCGCGGATTTTTGGTACGACAGATCACGTTAGTTTGGTTAATATCGACTGTGTGCATCGTATAATATTGAGCGGGATCTGAAACCGATGAAATAAACAATCACTTAGGTAACTTTTCAAGAGGTGGCGCACATGGCAGTGAGTACAAACTGGAGGTATGCAGCTTACAGATCGAAAGACCTAGACCTGGGGTAGCATTTCCCGACGTGTGGGGTAGCATTACCCGAAGTGTGGTGGGGTAGCAACTTAGTAACAGTACTAACATGGAGTCCTCAGAGTGGTCATCGGATCAAAGTAGTTATTCTTGAATGGTTCCTGGATTCTCCGGCGCTCCGATTTTCCATATTTTTTCCGGTTGGTCATGTTTCTGTGTATAATTTGAAAGAATTTTGTTCATATTAATATTCAAAAAATAATTTTTATCATTTCTTTTCGTGAATTTTTGTTGTTTTTTGATCATATGCCATACAAATGGAATTGCACAAAGTGAGCAAGACATGGACGATTTTGCTGCTGCATAAGTGAGCTTTCCAGGTTTGCTGTTCCGATCAGAGAGATCTACTTTTGCACCTGTATGTTTGATTTGTTCATATTCAGGCGTATTACATTATCCGTTGCTGTCTATATATCTGTGAAACGAATGAAATATTACTTTTTTTTCGACTGGATCTTGCGATTCTTTGCTTTGGCTTAAGTCCCACATTGTTGTTGTTTCTTAACCTTTACTATTTTTAAAGGGCAAAGAGGCATGATTATGCGTTTTTGTGATGAGTTTTTCTAGACAGACAGACTGCATTACTATTTGTGCATAACTTTAATGTAAAATCATGAATATGAGGCGCTGACACGTATAGCAATAATAATGATGATAATAATTATAGTAATAATGATAATGATAATACCAACAATAATGGTACTAGTGATAATAATAATAGTGATGATGATATTGACGATAATTATGATAATAACAACAATGGGAATAACAGTAATAATAGTAGTAGCAATGGTAGTGGCAGTAATAATAATTGTCGCGAAGAATCACGTTTGACCTTCGCGAATCTTCTAAACAGTTGTTTTCGTGTTGTCGATACCAGCATCAGCTAGGGAAGGATGACCTGGAGCGGATTGGAGGGAGGTCACCGGGGCACGGGGGCATAGGGATGGAGTGAGAGTTAAGTTAGAAGTAGAAGAGGACGGGGCGTGCGATGGTGCGCTGAACGGAAGAAGAAGAAGAGGGCTTCGCGTGCGGGGGTGCAGTGGAGCGAAGAAAAAAAAAAATAGGAATTTGTTTCGTGGTTGTTAGGATGGCATGGTTGGGGGAATTTTTTGGTGATTTTAACAGAAGAATTGTTTCGGGGCATTTGCTTTTGTGATTTTATTTGGGTGCTCCCGATTTGCTTGAAGAAATTTGTTGTTGGACGTGTTGCTGTGAGAAAAAAAAAGTTAAATTATTGAACCGCGTGGCAGCATTGGTTGGTAATTCCAGAACTCATTTTTTTCCGTCCGAGATCAGGAATTCTGCAACAATAATAGCCGAAAAATGATGGGATTAACAGTGGTGATACGAAAGAAATAACTGTGGTGAAATTAACAGTTATTATTACTATGTTCGACAGGTATAACCAAGAGGGACCTGAAGAAAATGATTCCACTTTCCTGGATTAAATGATATTTGACGATTATGTGTGTTTGGAAGCCTCATGCCGAGTTCTTATTAGGCTTGGGACGCACTGTTGCATACCGCGCACTCCGGCGGCTTCTTTTGTGCAAGGCAAAATTCAAAATACGCACAGAATGGGAATGGGTCTGAAAGTTGATTCCACTTTTGTTAACTCCACGGAGTTGAGCGTATGCATGGAATATATGGAGCGACAGGCTGAGACGATTATAAATTTGATTTAACATTGCCTGAATTCCAGTGCGATGGGTTCACATCAGCATTGCGCCAGCGAAGTAACAGATTTCGAAAGGCAAGGCGAAGGGATGCGCTATTGTATGGGTCTCCACATCGATCTCGATAAGGTACGTGAATTACGTGAGGTAGTTGTAAAAAAGTTGCGTGAGATAGTTGTAAAAAAGTGAATTACGTGAGAGTTTTAAAAAAAAATTGACAATGATATATATTAAATAAAAAATATTTAAAAAATAACGATAAATTGTTCCATTACATTTTAACATTAATGGAGGTAGGGTGTTCAAAGTTTGACCATATTTAACAACTTGTGAAACAAAAACAAAAGTATGATAAATACTGACTTAGCTAATGTATGTTATAGTATGCTAAAAAAAGCAATTTATTAGTTATGTAATTACTACATATTCACTCATCTTCTCTAAAATCGTTTTCTCCCTTTTTGATTGCAGTCACTAAAAATTTTATTTTTTTCACTGCAAAATTCAAAACAGAATTATTTTTGAAATTTTTTTGCAAATAATCCGCGCAGTTTTTTTTTTCGATTCAAATTTAGCTGTGACCGAGGAAATGTTAAAGCGAAGTATGCTTGGAGTGCCTACACTTTATCTTATACACCAATTATGTTCATGTAGAATGAATGGCATGTAGAATGTTGCTGTGATTGCGTAAGAACTTAAAATCTCGTGGTCAGGGCATCTTGCTCGCCGGCGGCGGACATCGCCTATTAGTGAATGGTACTTGTGAAAAAGTAAGCAATTACTCGGGTTCCCTACTCACTCATGGACGAGAAAAGCTGGAATTTTAAAGGAATCTCCCCTGTTCATGTACGAGCAAAATGTTTCGAATTTTAATTCCTTAGAACTGTCCAGGTCTCACGCACGGACACGTGAAAATTTTGGCGGGAAAATTGCTGCCTTTAAAAAAATGGCATAGATACATTCAGCAAGCAGTGGTTACTAAGTGGGGGTATAGAGCTCTGGACCGACGGACCTGGCATAGCTAGAATAACACAGTTCACTACGTCGATTGTTCGTAATCCCCGTACATACATCAGTGTATTTACAGGTTACTGTACTGAATGAGGCAGTTGACGGATCAGGTGTGAAAGTTTTCAAAAAATGGGAAAATCGAATGGATAGGTCTGTATTTTCTTGTTTTTTTCTATCTTTTTCAATTAATATTGCTGGTAATGTGAACGATCTTGGTGCTCTCGGAAATAGCAAACCTCATGAAATGTATTTTTCAGGACGGAGTACGTGGAAAGTGATGTTGACGAAGAGCTTTTGTTCAACATACCTTTTAAAGGTCATGTCAAAATAACCGGCCTGGTGCTAGCAGGTGATTTGGATGGTACTCACCCGTCAAGCTTGCGAATCTACAAAGATCGACCATCGGTATGTGCTTGTACATTTCACGCATTTTCATATTTTTTTACATAAAAATAAATTTATCAACTGGTATTTTTTTTAAGAACATATATTTTAGTAACGAAAATTCATTGATAATTTGACAAATATTTCAGTGGTGTGAAAAATAAATAGCGGCACGCATTTGGGCAACCAATGCGATCATGCATTTTGCGCAGTTCTGTCTAGCGAACGTTTGCCTGCTAATAATACCTCCAAATGACGAATATTTGGATGAATTAAACTAAGAAATAACAGCTATTCAATGTATAATTATTTTTATGTTAATTGTGTATGTGTGAGTTGCAGATGTCGTTTGAGGATGCAGGCGGGGAAGCGGACCAGGAATTCTCGATCAAACAGGATCCGCGTGCCGAAATAGACTATGCTTTGAAAGCATCGAAATTCTCAAACATCACTTATTTGAGCCTCTTTTTCCCAACAAATTTCGGCGACGAAAAAACACGAATTTATTACATCGGCTTACGAGGCGAATACTTAACAAACATGCGACAACAGGTACATCAAAACACTTTCCAGACTTAAAAGTCGTTTGTTTTGGTCTGAAAAAAAAGGAATGGAAGAAATTTTTGGTTTAGAAAGTAGCGTTCTGAAACGCCGGCCTAACTGAAAAAGAAAATGGAACTAAAAAAAAGGAGGTGTGAAAATCGAAAATCGAAACAGCCTAATAATACGCCACTTGAACAATCTTGGCCGTTCGGCGCAGCTGATGATCTCTTTCTCAGTCTATGTATGGTAATTTCTGTGTGCCTCGTAATTCGGCATACATTGTACTTCTTTTGAGTTCCATCTCCCCCTCTTCCCACCCTCAAAATTTGAAAAATTCAGCCGTTCCGAATTTTCGTTGGCTGCACGAGCCGTTATTTCAGCAGGTATGGTTCGGTTTATTAGTGGCCGCAAAAAACCACTTGACAATTTCACCCTCTTTTTCGGCTGCCGTACTTGGAATGTCCAATTTTTTTCGATAAAAAATGAGGTGCATTAGGGCGGGTGGGGG